AAAAAAAAAAAAAAAAAAAATTGAATGAGAAGGTTGCTTAGAATTAAAGCACCTGTTCTGGACTTTTTTTGACTGCCTGTGTATGTAAAGATTGTTCTGCAGTTTGTTGTTACCTATCAATCAAACTCCACAATAAAGACAATCTTCCTTCTTCCACAGCACAAGCTAGATGTTAGTGCTAAGTGATTTGGTATTCAATCAATTGACAGTAAGTGATTTCGTAGTTGTAAATAATTGTTTATCCCAAATTGGCCATCTTCTTGTAATGGATCAGGCAGAGTTTCTACTGACTGTCCAATCCATAAGTTAATGACTTCAAGAGGAAGTTCTGAGTAAAATGAACTTGTGATAATGCGATTTATCATTGTGTCCATAGAACGTTGCTCCGCAATGCTTGACACTGCCAAGTTATCTTCAATGAGACCGTAACCTTGATGAAGCATATTAAGGAGCCACGTTTGATTTGGGGTTTTTCCATGCAAGGTTCTCAGAGAATGGTTATTCCACGTTTCTACGAACAGATCCAAATCACGTTGAATTCTAGAAAGATAACAGTAGTGGAGGCAGAAAATATCAAGCATATTGTCTGTATCAAGAACACCATTGCTTTCTAAATGCATGAAGATTTCCTTAAATAGGTCAATGACTTTCTCCCGTGTATCTCTCCACAGCCGTTCGATGCGTTGATTATGGGTTGATGGCCCAAAAATAAACCTACCATTGTCCTCATACAGGTCGCAAATTAATCGTGCAACTTCTTCATTCTCTCCTCCATAGTCACCTCTGACCCTGTGGGGTAAACCAGATCTTTGAACCCCTTCTTGAAAAGCCTCTACAACTGTCGATGCTCGGTTGTTGCAGCTGACTTCACAGAAAATTGTTTTCCTAGAGAAGCCATCGACACATCCATGTACTACAAAATGGTACATTATAAGTTTGTGATGTCCATCAATGCACCTGACAACAAAATAAAGGTAGGAATGAAGGAAACAAAATAAAGGAATTTTCTCTCGGGATTACCCTAACTGAGAGTGAAAAAAAAAATTTAAGAAAAGAAAAATCTACATCAATAAATTCTTAGCTGAGGAACAGTTGAATTAAAAGCAACTCCAAATTGTTTTCAACATTCATACATCGAGTCATCACTTCCTAAGGCTAAAAAACAGGAAATATGATGGAGAATTCCAGTCATTTTGAATTTGGTCGAGCAGTCTACTCGAAAATTTTTGGTCGATTTCATGTAGAATGTCCTACGAAAAAATTTGCTCCAAAACTCCCTGCTCAAGTTACAGTTTAAATTAAATACATAGGTTGTCCCAAAAGTACTGCACGTTTTGTTTTTTTGGACGAACGGTAGCAGATATCAAAATGCGAATTGTGTACTCTTACAGACCGAGCAATTACCGATAAAACAAGACAAAACCAAGCTCTCTAAGTCAAAAAATGACCACGTTACAGTGTTTTGAAAATGACTTGTAGAGGTGACCCCTACAGGATTTTTAGCTTCTTTTCTGGAAAAAAACAAATTATTACAGATTCAAACGGTTTCATTGAATCAATTTTACAGAATCTTACCAACGTTACTAGCATTTACTCTTCTTCACTGGACGACTGGACACTAGTTTCCTTCTCAAAATACCTTCCATCCCTTGCCACACAGCGCCGCAACCGTACTTCTCACTTCTTCAAACATGTTTTTTCGAATTCTGCTTGCCTGATGTTCTTTAAGAAAGATTCAACAGCTCTTCCTATCTCATTGATGGAGTTAAACTTCCTGCCTCTTAAGCCCTTTTTCAACGTAGGGAATAACCAAAAATCGCAGGGTGCGAGGTCCGGGCTGATACCATGTTGTCAACTTCATTCGATCGCGACGATTTCTCTGTAGAATTTTTGATTAATCGAATCTTTGTTTTTTTCCAGAAAAGGTGTTAAAAATCCTGGAGGGAACATCTCTACAAATCATTTTCAAAACACTGTAACTTGGTCATTTTTTTACTTAGAGAGCTCAAATTTGTCTTGTTTTATTGGTAATTGCTTGGTCTTTCAGACCACATAAACCGCATTTTGATATCTGTTACCGTTCGTCCAAAAAAAAAAAACAATCAAATCTTTGTTTTTTTTCCAGAAAAGAAGCTAAAAATCCTGTAGAGGTCACCTCAACAAGTCATTTTCAAAACACTGTAACTTCGTCATTTTTTGACTTAGAGAGCTTGGATTTGTCTTGTTTTATCGGTAATTGCTCAGTCTTTAAGACTACACAAACCGCATTTTGATATCTACTACCGTTCGTTCAAAAAAAAAAAAAAAAA